ACCCCGCCAGCACAGCTCGCCGCAGTACCACACCCCACGAGCGTAGCTCGCCGCAGTACCACACCCCACGAGCGTAGCTCGCCGCAGTACCACACCCCACGAGCGTAGCTCGCCGCAGTACCGCACCCTACGAGCGTAACTCACCGCAGTACTACACCCCACCAGCGCAGCTCGCCGCAGTACCGCACCCCACGAGTGTAACTCACCGCAGTACCACGCCCCGCCAGCACAGCTCGCTGCAGTACCGCACCCCACGAGTATAACTCACCGTAGTACCACACCCGGCCAGCGCAGCTCACTGCAGTACCACACCCCACCAGCGCAGCTCGCTGCAGTACCGCACCCCACCAGCGCAGCTCACTGCAGTACCGCACCCCACGAGTATAACTCACCGTAGTACCACACCCGGCCAGCGCAGCTCACTGCAGTACCACACCCCACCAGCGCAGCTCGCTGCAGTACCGCACCCCACCAGTGCAGCTCGCTGCAGTACCGCATCCCACGAGTATAACTCACCGTAGTACCGCACCCCGCCAGCGCAGCTCACTGCAGTACCGCACTCCGCCAGCGCAGCTCGCCGCAGTACCGCACCCCACGAGTGTAACTCACCGTAGTACCGCACCCGGCCAGCGCAGCTCACTGCAGTACCGCACCCCACAAGTGTAACTCACCGTAGTACCGCACCCGGCCAGTGCAGCTCGCCGCAGTACCGCACCCCACGAGTGTAACTCACCGTAGTACCGCACCCGGCCAGCGCAGCTCGCTGAAGTGGTTCTGATCAATGGAGACTGAACAGAGAGAGCCCTGAGACTGAGTCACTCTCTGGAGGGTTTTGAGATTTCCATGAGCAGTTAGTGTCAATGAAGACATCGGCGCTCCCCCTGGGAAGCTGCCAGTAACGGATTATACACCACTCAAACCCACCTCCCCATCCAGTCGCTCCTGACTGCTGATCACACTAATTAATTGTCCTATTGGGCCATTGTGGTAATCAACTCACTATTCATGCAGGTCTGTGAGTCATTAAAACATTTCTTACAGGTGGCTTCCCAGCCAGGGTTTAACGCAGCCATGCCCAGCAGGAGGCCTGCCCGGAGCCCAAGAGCTCTCGAGAAATCTCAGAGCCCAACCTCTCCACTTACAGCCCTTTATTTGGAAAGGCTGGTGAAAATGTCCAGCACCACAGATGTCAACAGGAGCAGTGTTGGAGCTGCAGAAACCAGCAGC